AAAAAAAAAAAAAAAAAAAAAAATCAGTAATAGGTAGAAAGATGGATATTCATGACTGAACTTATGTAATTATTCAGAAAAGGGATTAATATAAATTGCACTTAAGTCTTGTGTTTTATTTCTAATTGTGATTATGATAATTTTTAATGCAAATTATCTCAATTGTTTTTAGTCTATTTTATTGATAATGCTTTTTTCTAGTAACTTATTAAACTATGCCTTTTGCTTTTAGTTTCATGATTTGTCTCTGACTTACTTGAGGTACCTCCCTGTTGACAAATATTTACCCCATTGCAGGAAGATCAATTATAATCTATTAATTTTTATTATAATCTACTAGTCACTTTTAGGCAATAACCAGGACTCATTTTTATTTTCGAAATTATGTAATTTATTGTGATTGTAAGAGGCCTTTACATATTGTGGAATGGCAAGTCATTATTTGAACAGAAGTCTAAAAAAACTTGAAACCATGCCAGCTCAAAGGAAGCAGTGTTTTAAATCTTCAAATTCCTTCTTCACTGTACTTTTTGTTATTAAAGCTTGCTTTCCTTATTGGTTGGATGAGAGACAGGATACAACTATGCAATTCAGGCTTGGCTTGAACTATGTAGCCCAGGCTGGCCTTGGACTTGCCACAATACTCCTGACTTAGCCTCCCAAATGCTGGGATTATAGGTGTGCACCACCATGCCCAACGCAAGGCTTACATTTCATGCCCCATTTCATTTCTTACATCAAAAGGCAAAGAAGTATGTCTTCACTGTAAAAGAAACAATACTGTGCTTTCCTAGATTTTCAGACTTTACTTAATCTGTGTATAGGGAATCTATTAAACGCAGTAGAAAAATGATACTGTTTTTGAAAAATTAGTTTATGACCTTTATTTAGCAGTTGTTACAGCAGTTTGTATATTGATGAAGATTCTTGACTCTTAAGACTGATTAGAGATTAATAGCATTATGTTTTAGAAACAAAACGTATAATGAAGTTTTTCTAAGTAAATTATGGCTTTGTTAATTATATTTCAAATTTTAGAAATACGGGAAACTGACAACTTGTACCGGCTGCCGAACACAGTGCAGGTTCTTTGATATGACTCAGTGTATAGGTCCTAATGGATATATGGAGCCATATTGTTCAACTGCTTGCATGAACAGTCACAAGACAAAATATGCAAAATCACAAAGTAAGTTTCATATATTTGGACAGTTAAATCTTTTTTTTTTTTTTTTTTTTTTGGTGGAACCAGGGATTGAACTCAGATCCTTGAGTTTGCCAGTCAAGCGCTTATCCTACTGAGCCATTTCCCCGGCCCCTAATCTTAATAACATAATTATTTCAGAAACAATCGCTCTGATTTCATTTTTATATTTATTTTAAACTGCTTTTAAGTTGCTGAGTTTTTTTTTATTTTTTTTATTTATTAGAGAGAGAGAGAGAGAGAGAGAGAGAGAGAGAGAGAGAGAGAGAGAGAGAGAGAGT